CTCCCTGCTGCAGGGGGGTTGACGTCATGGAGACGGGGTCCCCTGTTGACGTCATGGAGACGGGGTCTCCCTGCTGCAGGGGGGTTGACGTCATGAAGACGGGGTCTTTCCTCTGTAGGAGGATTGACGTCATGGAGACGGGGTATCCTCGCTGTAGGAGGATTGATGTCATAGAGATGGGGTCTTCCTGCTGCCGGGGAGTTGACATCATGGAGATGGGTTCTCCCCGCTGTAGAAGGACTGACGCCATGGAGACGGGGGCTCTTTGCTGTAGGAAATTGATCATCACTGATCAGTCTTGGCACTGGAGCCCACCCCTTTGGGGCCACCATCACAGAAGAGCCGCTGATGGTGGCACCAGGTACACTCCTTGCTGGTTCCTGGTGGACACATGCTTCCTGCCTCACTCTGCTCTGTCCAGGGTGTGAGCTGTTGACCATGTTGACATTTAACTTAAATTAACGACATTCTGCTCCTCGCTCACAGCGGACACGTTTCACTTGTTCAGTAGTTGATTGTGGAGAGTGCATGTCTAGAGTATTCTATTATCACATGAGCTGTTTCAAACCTTACCCTTCAGGTGAATCTGGGCCTAGCAGACTCAGCACTGTTCTCAGGGTCACGGGCTGGCGGCTCGTCATGCCTGAGGCCTGACTCGTCACAGGCCAGTGGCTCATCACAGCTGAGGGCTGTGTCTCCCCGGGGTCACAGCGTGGTGGCACATCATGACTGAGGCCTGACTTGTCATGGGCTGGCAGCTTGTCACGGCTGAGGCCTGACTCCTCCCTGGGGTCACAGCGCGGCAGCACGTCACGGCTGAGACCTGACTCCTCCCTGGGGTCACAGCCGGGCAGCACGTCACGGCTGAGGCCTGAGTCCTCCCCGGGGTCACAGGCCCGCGGCTCGTCACGACTGAGGCCTGACTCCTCCCTGGGGCTGTGGGTTGGCGGCTCGTCACAGCCAGGACCCATCTCCCCAACAGGTGAAGTGGCACGGCCCCAGTCGGCCCTCGCTTTCCCCATGCGGGGAGCACCTTCCCCATCTTGCTGAGAGGTGGTCCCCCGTGTACCTCCCTGGTGTTGTGACGTTGTCTCACAGTGTACACATGACAAGTTACCTACTGGTGTGGTGCTGATACTAGAATCTGGTGGAACCAAAAACACAAACTCACTGCTGTCGAGTTGGTTCTTACTCATAGTGACCCCTATTGGGTTTCCAGGGCTGTAAATAAATCTTTACAGAAGTCGATTGCCCCATCTTCCTTCTGCAGAGCAGCTGGTGGGTTTGAACCATTGACCTTCTAAGTAGCAGCCAAATGCCTCACCTACTATGCCACCAGAGCTCCTTATTAGAATCTGGTGGGGATTTAAAAAGTGTCTTAAATTAAATTGAGCAGTAACCTCATCCCATCTGAAGCTGGAATAGTCGAGGTGGTGAAGTGTGACCACTGGGCGTAAATACTTCAAGGTGGTTTTCTGTTGAAGAAAAGGTGACTGCTCTGGTCTGGTTAGGTTTTGATCATCCTGAAGACAGAACATTTTCTGCTGCCTGTGGGCCCTGGACGTGCTGGCAAGAACTGCATTGCCCAGCCTGGTGTTTCTGTTTAATTTTATACTGATGAAGAATATATAACAAACTGTGCCATTTAACCGTTTTTAAGAGTATGGCTCAGTAATGTGAGTTGCCTTGACTGTGTCATGCAACCATCACCACTATTTCTAAAAATTGTTCATCCCCCAAACAGAAACTCTGCACCCTCAAGCAGTAACTCCCCAGTCACCTGACCTGCCGTCTGCCTGATTTTGGCCTGTTCTGGGCATTTTACATGGGGCATCAGGCAGTATGTGTCCCCTCATCTGGCTTCTCACACGCAGCACGTGTCTTCAGTGCCCTCTGTGGGGTGCAGCCTGTCGACACCGTGTCTCCTTATGGATGAGTAACGTGCTGCGTGGGTGACCCGTGCTGTGTTTATCCGTGCTCTGGCGACAGACACTTGGGTGATGTCACCTTCCGGTGATGGTAACAGTGCCGCCGAGAGCACTGCACACACACCTGTCCCTGCTATGAACGCCGTGTGCACACACGTGTGTGCGTACATACATGTCCCTGCTGTGAGCACCGTGTGCATGCGCATCCGTGTTGTGTGCGTGTGTTCTCCCACCCCCTGAGCACCATTTGCATATGTACCCGCCCTGAGCACCATCCTTGGGGCACACACATCCCTACTGTGAACACCGTGTGCATGCACGTCCCTGCTGTGAGCACCCTGTGTGTGTGTGTTCTCCCACCCCCTGAGCACCACTCACATAAGTACCTGCCCTGAGCACTGTCTGTGGGGCACTCATGTCCCTACTGTGAACACTACACGTGCACCCCAGCTGTGAGCACCATGTGTGTGCACGTCCCTGCCCTGAGCACAGGACGTGCGTGTGTTAGTGTCCCTGCTTTCATGTCTTCGGAACCCATGCCCAGCAGTGGGATTTCTGAGTCATGCAGTAGTTCTCAACGGTGGCCCACACACGACGCAGTGGAACACAGCTTCCCGGGGTTGTCTCGGTCATTGTCTTGACGTCACCTCCCAGCGGTGGCCCACACACGACGCAGTGGAACACAGCTTCCCGGGGTTGTCTCGGTCATTGTCTTGACATCATCTCCCAGCGGTGGCCCACGCACGACGCAGTGGAACACAGCCCCAGGGTTGTCTCGGTCGGAGTCTTGACGTCATCTCCCAGCGGTGGCCCACGCACAATGCAGTGGAGCACAGATCCCCGGGGTTGTCTCGGTCAGAGTCTTGACGTCATCTCTTAGCGGTGGCCCATGCACGACACAGTGGAGCACAGCTCCCCAGGGTTGTCTTGGTCGGGGTCTTGATGTCATCTCCCAGCGGTGGCCCACGCACGACGCAGTGGAACGCAGCTCCCCGGGGTTGTCTCGGTGGTGGTCTTGACGTCACCTCCCAGCGGTGGCCCATGCACGACGCGGTGGAACACAGCTCCCCGGGGTTGTCTTGACGTCATCTCCCAGCGGTGGCCCACGCACGACGCGGTGGAACACAGCTCCCTGGGGTTGTCTCGGTCGTGGTCTTGATGTCATGTTCAGGCCTTTCTCCTGTAGTGTTACTGAGTCGACTCAGACCTCCAGTCTTTGGTCAGTCGTGTACGGAGAAGCATTGGTGCCACTGCAGGTCAGAGATGACTGCCCAGCAGCAGGTTGGCCTTGGCCTTGGTTAGGGTAGTTCTGTGTTCAGCTTCTTTAAGCCAGCCTGCTGTCCATATTGTGGCTGTAAGCCTAGACCACGGTGAAGGGACTGTCTACAAACTCAGCCCCCTGTGGGGCACAAGCAAGTCTGCTTTCCTTTGAATCTGGGGCTTTTGTCGAGTCTCTGACTTGACAGTGAGCAACTGGTGACAGACCGCCTTCCCATGGTCTTTCTCATCATGGTCTTGTGACTCCTACTAGACGACAGCATGGGACTGTGGGTGTTTGTGGTCCACCAAGGGGATCAGACAACTTGCTACTAAAGCAGTAAGGTCCATGGCCCCCTTGTGGGAGTGGAACCATGCAAATAAGGTGTGGAACCCTAATGAGGGGACTGGTTAAGTTTGCCATCCCACTAGGCTTAAAATGAGCAATCTTAGACATGGACGGAGGACCTCACTACCACCCAGAAGAGACAGGAGTGGAGTGCATCCTTTCCTGGACCCAGAAGACAGGAGAGCCATGATGCTGGTGACAGTGAGAAGCAGTGACTGAGAAGTGGTGGCAGAGACAACAGGAGACCGGCGGGAGAGTGCGGTGGGCTTCCGAGCACCTTCATGCCAAAGCCTGCTGGCGGAGTGGGGTTCCTCCGGGCACTTACCAATACAGCCAGAGAGCTCTGTGATGCTCATCAGAGCAGGGCAGCGGCCGGGCTGAGGGCAGAGAGAAGCCCCTTGTGGGCATTTCACATGGGCATCAGACAGTACGTGTCCCCTCATCTGGCTTCTCACGTGCACCACGTGTCTTTAGTGTCCCCTGTGTAGTGCTACCTGTCAGGACTCTGTGTCTCTTTATGGATGGGTAATGTCCACTGTACGGGTGAACCACGGACACAGCTGAGAAGAACTGACTCCTGAGTCTTTCCTGAACCTGATCTCCATAACCTGTCAGGTCCCACTCAACACCATGTTGTGAGTGTGGTCTGAGTTCTGCGTGGCCATCGCAGTGAATTATGGAGACCAGCAGAGGAGGAGAGGTGCTGTGGGAGGGCTGGCTGGTGTTAGAATCGGTGAAAGGGTTGGAGTGTGGCAGCGTGCCTGACTCCTCCTCACAGGAACCGGCTTTGGCTGATGACGCACCCAGTGAAGTGGAGGAGGTCGGAGGACACCTCCACACCATGTTTATTTTGCTTGTATTTCTAACGTTTTAAGGAGCCCGTCGAAGCAGCTTCTAAAACCCAGGAGAGGGAGCTCGAGCCGTGCCCTCAGGAAATGGGGGGAACAGGCCAGCGACCCTGGTGTCTTCAACCCATCTCACCTTTTTCAAACTGATTTTTAACTGAATTGTCACCTCTAGAGGTCTGTGTTTTCACACACAAGTTCCTTTTCATGGATTTTTATTTCATCACATAGACCTGCAAGCCAGAGCAGTTTGTTTTTTTCAGAAAGGGTGTGAGTTGACACCTTGGATTGGTGTTAGTGTGTACCTAACAAAGTTGGCAGCCAGGAATATGGAATTTTCCTGCCTTCATCTACACAGCACACAGAGTTTCCCTAGAGAGTTTCCACACAAATGGTTCAGTAAGGTTAGTGACGTCAACATTGTGATTGCCTTCTGGTTGTACTGTTTCTTGTGCTCTAGTATCCCTGCCCCCTTCTCATTGTTGCTTTAGAGGCATTGTAGGCTTTTCTGTCTCATACTGATGGGTTTTTAAGCTCCACGGTTTTTCTGTCTCTACTTTTCACTTTGTGTGCAGAGTCAGGAGATGGGTGCTTTGAAGCCAATCCGAGACAATATGTTGTTCTTCTCATACGCACTGTAGGCTGTATCTCCAGCAGGTACAGCCTCATGTTTTAACCTGATGGAAAGGTCGCTAAGCATTTGATGGGGTTGATGCAAGTTCCCTCTCCCTGCTGACGGTGGGTCCTTGTCAGTGGGCAGGCACTTGCTGCCACGTGTGGTGGTCTGCAGCGTGGGTTGTGCCAGCTCAGTGCTTTGAGGTCTGCAGTCTGGCCCCCGAACGGTGTGAGCACTCACCCTGTCCCTTGTTCCCCTGCAGAAGCTGTACCTGGAGCACCTGCTGCTGTGTGTCCAAGCCCTAATCACTGTGTGTCGTGAGGACTGCTGTACATGCAGCCTGCAGCTCATGCAAGTGCTGGTGGCGACCCTCGCAGCCTCTGGTGCCCCAGACCTGGACAAGAAGGTGAGACAGGGTGTCAGGGTGGCTCCTTGGCTGCATGGCGCCTGCTGGTAGACAGCGGAGCCTCTGAGTGAAGAGCGCTGACCACTTGAATCGCCTGGAAATCGTTCCTCTTGGCTTCCCATCCTCCAGCTTGAGCCTTGAGCTGAAAAGGAGGGTGAGAGGGTAGATTCTGGGTGGGCCTGGGGGCTGCAGACTCAGGAGCCCCTCCAGCTGCTGATTGATCTCAGTCCCTCACGTGGAGACAACGGGCGAGTCTTGGAGTGTGCTGCAAGAGAAGCCGAGAAAGACACACAGCCACAGGAGCCTGAGTCCGTGTGTGAGCATGGCTTGAGAGCTGCAGGAGCCTGAGTCCATGGGTCTGAGCATGACCTGCCACAGGACCCTGAGTCCATGCATCTGGGCATGGCCTATAGAGCCATGGGCGCCTGAGTCCATGGGTCTGAGTATGACCTGCCACGGGAGCCTGAGTCCATGCATCTGAGCGTGGCCTATAGAGCCGCGGGTGCCTGAGTCCATGGGTCTGAGTGTGGCCTACAGAGCTGCGGGCGCCTGAGTCCGTGCGTCTGAGCATGACCTGCCACGGGACCCTGAGTCCATGCATCTGAGCATGGCCTATAGAGCCGTGGGCACCTGAGTCCATGGGTCTGAGCGTGGCCTACAGAGCTGCGGGTGCCTGAGTCCATGTGTGTGAGCATGACCTGCCACGGGAGCCTGAGTCCATGGGTCTGAGCGTGGCCTGCTGATATTCGGCACCTGAGGCTGATGTTAGGAAGTCCACTTGACCTCCATGTCTTAGCTGCAGGTGGTTTTCTGAGAGTGTACCTGTCCTATAGGTGTTCCAGTTATAAATACTTTCTAAGCTCAGGCTCCCTTCAGCTCCTAGGACCATCCAGAGCCCAGGCTGCTCACAGCTTAGCCTGGAGCTCAGGCCAGCGTCCTCCTCACTCCTTCCTGACAGCCCGCTAGCCCTGGCCCTAGCCTGACCGCCTGTCTCAAGAGTGACGGGGAGGCGTGTCTGTGAGACTTGAGGCCTGGCCCCTGAGACATTCCATACAGGAATCTCACTGCCCCTCTTTTCTCAGAGCCTGTTTGAGGCTTCCCCGCTTGTCTTTAAGATTAACCTTCCCAGAGGGTAGCAGTCCTAGGAGACACCTTATCACTGGCATGACCATAATTGGTAGACCGTGCTGGGGACACATGGAGCCTGGGGCTGTGGAGAAGGAAGGGAGCTGCTGGGTTACAGATGACACACCATGGGGCCCCTCGTCAGATTCGGGGGAAGGTACAGACTGCGGGCAGAAGGTGGCAAAAGGCCCGCGGTAGCACTCACTTCTCATCTGTCCACAGACAGCCTCTGATGGTCTCCCCTGGAGGTTGGTGGGAGGCCAGGGAACCCTGGTGCCTGTGTGGCCTCACTTGCCAGGCCACTGGTCACACTCTCCTGCAGCCCTGGGTGAGCCCACCAGCATCCCATTCTCCTCTGTGCTCTGTGGGCAGCTGTGGGAGCAGTTCCTCTGCAAGGGCCCACTCTGGAGTCATGTAAAACCACAGGGTTGGCAGCTGGCTTTCAGGTGGGAGTCAGCCTCACAGTCGCGTCTGTGGTCCCAGCTCTGCGGTCAGTGCTCAGAGTCCCTGATGGCGCCCCGCCTGCCGAGGTGCTGCTGCTGCGATGGCCGCGTTGAGTGCCCCCAGTGCTGAGGGTGGGCCTGCACTTGAGGACTCTGACAGAGCGCCCCCTTTGCCCTCTAGGTGCAGGAGACGGTGGGCTCTCTGGCTACGGTGGAAGGCTGTGATGGGCCCCAGGACGTCTACCGGAAGCACATGGGCGCACTGATGGAGTGGGTGACGGCCTCGCACAGGGACTGGACCGTGCACTCCCCGGAGCTCGCCCAGTTCAGCACCCTCCTCACTCGGGCAGGTAGGCTGGCCGCGGTCAGCGGTGCACTGTCCTGTTGGTAGGTGCTCTGCTGTTGGTGTGTGGGAGAAGAGGACAGTCTTGATGACAGGCATTGAGAGCGAGGTGAAGAAAACCGTCCTCAGGTTGACTGGCTCACGGCGGCCCCTGCACATCCGAAGAACCATTCCCCACGGGGTTTCTGTCGTCTGGTGGTTCAGAAGTAGAGCACCAGCCTGGACTTTGCAGGGGCCTCTGACTGTTTGCCCGTCCAGACTCCTGAACCGAGGTCCATTTAACACGTCACTCCTGCTGTGGCCCACGTGACTGGCATCTTGCAGAACAAAACCTTTTCTGAATGTCAGAGGCGGCACATGATGACATTGTGTCAAGCATCTCTGAGGTCTGCCAAGCACACAGCCTCCTGTTAAGCTTCAGAGACGTGTTGGTTATGGTCTTTTCTATAGTCTGTACTCTCCAAGTGTGTCTGACCACTGTAGTAGGATGTCACACGTGTGGCCATGCTGATGCTGACCACTGTCATAGGATATTGTGTCCAGCCACGCCGACGCTGACTGCATTGTCACAGGGTGTCACACAACTGGCTGTGCTAACCACATTGTTGTAAAGTGTCACGCGTCTGGCCATGCTGATGCTGACCGCATTGTCAGGGTGTCACACA